TGACATCCTTCTTGGAGCAACTGAGTCTCACACCCTTATCTCCAGCCCTCACATTTCACCTGAACTTCTTCTCACCCATATTTGTCAGCTGCTCCTGGACAAGTTTTCCTAGTCCTCTAGAAGGTTTCTGAAATTCAGGAAGTCCTATAATAAACTCGCCCCAGTCTCTATCCAAGTTCACCTCTGCAACCCTCCACCTCTTTATCCTATCCTATAAGTTGGTCAATATTCCCACCATCTATTATCATCTTCTCTAAAACAAATGAAAAAACTCTCCATCTCACTCTCAACTTCCCAATCTCACCTGGGTCAGACACTAATATTTTTAGATCTACTTCAGAATACCTCATCTTCATTTCTCCATCACCACCACTACACCCTCTTGCTCAAATTCTCCTTATCTCTCACCTGGAGGACTACCATAGCCCCTGAACTGACATCCTTCCCCGCAGCCTGTGCTTCACAGGATAGCCACAGCGCTCTTCCTAAAAACAAATGTGAACAGGGGATTCCTCTCTTAAAGACCTTTATGGTGGGGCCCATAAACACCAACTGAAATTTGGTGACCAGACATTTGAAGTGCTTCACAATCTGGCCCCAAATTCCTCAACCAGCCTCATTGCTATCCACTTGGATACATTTAGACTTTGATGAACATGGGTTACTTTCAGGGTTTTGTGTTTTTGCTTTGTCCTCTATTTCACAAAGACCTACCAGTGCAGTAACATTCAGGTTCTAGGATGCCGTTGCTGACTCACCAAACATCACTCCCTCCCTTCCTCTGTGTCTCCAGGACACTTGACACGTCACTCATTTGCCATTGTTGGTTTGCTCTGGCGCTGCTTCTTCAACCAAAAAGGGGACATTGAAGGCAGGAACAGATTTAGAATTGTCTAATCTTTCTATCTCCTGCACCTAGTTTAGTGCTAGTGCAGCTCAGAGTGAGACCTTGGTGATTGTTAACTCACTCTCTGAATCAAGAATAGCCTTGGCGAGGGTCCCACCAAAAAAAAAAAAAAAGAAGAAGAAGGTTTTTTTAAGAGTAGTTAAGAGTACCAGACTGGAGCCCAAGAGAATTAGTACACTTTGCAGAACAAATGTAAAATGAAAGGAAGAAATTTACAGGGGTAGATAAGGAATAGGAAGAGGAGATGCCAAAACAGGGAGAAACTAAATTTCCTTATATGGAAGGAAAGGAAAGTTCCTGCTTTTGCTTTAATGATAGTAAATAAATATAGAAACAAAAGTTATTTTTAGTGCTAAGAGAATATAAAAGATGTTCACCTTTAAAATCTGTTTAAAAGCTAAAAGGAAAGAAAGAATATTCCATAAAGTAGAGGTATAATGAAGAGACAACTAAAAAATATTAAAATTTAAACAAATAATATATAAAATACAACAATTACAGTACTAATCATAAGTTAAAGAGTAAAAGTTTGCACATAAGTTATAGAATCTTCAAAACTGGTTAAACAGAAAACAAAATCCAACAAAATTCTGTTATAAAAAAATAACCTCTAAAAAATAACAGCTATGACGTTAGTAGAAAATAGAACAAAATCACTACATAAGAAATTTATAGACTGGAAAAAGTAGTTGAAAAGTATTGTTTTAAGTGTTATCAAAAAAACAAAAATAAAAACTAAATATGCAACTAGAGGTCTTGAAAAACCACCAAAAATCTAAAGGAACCTTTTTCTAAAAACAAAGGAAAAAAAAGGAAGGAATTAGATATTTTGAAAGCAAAAACCAAAGTACTTTGAAAGGACTCAAGCAACTGGCCAGAGGCACTGCCTATGAGAGGGGTGCTGACAGCCAGAGGAGAAGCAATGAGTAGAAACTGACGTTTCACTCCACCCTCTTGTACTTCTAAAGTTTTATATTTCAAATAAAAGTTTCTGTAAGGAGACTAAAAGTGATACTACTGATAAATTTAATTACACAAAGGAAATGCATAAAAATGGAAAAATAGAACATCAAAAGAGATAATACATTTGGGGGGGAATACTATGAATATGCTAACAAATTGGATAAAAACAGATGAATTTCCTGTTAAAATGTAAAGTTCTAACATTGAAAAAATAAAGTACTTAACTATATACTAACATCTTTTGAGAAAATCAACTATGTCCCCACAAAGCAGTTAGTTTCTGATGATCTATTAGTAAATCTTTTCAAAATCTGTGAAACAAATGATTCACATTCTAGAAATCATGCCTAAAATAGGTCAAGATACAGGTTCTTAGTTTATTCTACTAACCCAGACAAATCTTAAAACTGTAGTGAAAGTTATAGTAAAGGTTTACTTAAAATTCATGCTCAAAAATTTAAAGGAAAATAACAGTAAATAGAATCTAGGAAAAGATTAATTTTTAAAACTGTGTCATGAGGGCCTCCCTGGTGGCGCAGCGGTTGAGCGCTGGGTTGCAAAGCTGCCCGCAGCCTCTGCAGCGCCGGTTCGATCCCCGGCTGCTCCCCGGCCACCGGAGGAGGGTCCTACATGGAGCACAGACCTCTCCTTCCGCCCGCTGCTCCCCTCAGCAGTGTACTTCGGTCCTTCTGCCTGCTCTGCTCCCCACTCTGGCTCTGGTGAATTCTCTTGCCCTCCCGCGCTTCTGACTGTACCCAGTACATGTATAAACAAAACGAACAAACAAATAAATAAATAAAACATGCCTCTATTTAAAAAAAAAAACAAAACTGTGTCATGATACCAACAGATACCAAAAATTCATGTTAATATTCACCATCTATTCTTAATTGTAAGATGCTCAAACTAGCACAAGGGACTGTGGTGATGGTGCATGGGTACACTGGTGAAGGAAATTCTGTGGGGACTACACCTGAGGGGGGTACAGAAGCAAACATTGTTTAAAAATGAACAATGATGTAAAAAAATATATAAATAAAAAGAAAATTAAAAAAAAAATTTTAAACCCAAAAAATGTGTTCACAAATTCACTTGAAAAAACAAATGCCTTATGCCCTAAAAATTTTTTAGTTTAGAAAATCCATATACAAGGCCACTAAAGCATTTTTATTCAATCTTACAACTCAAAGTTAAGAATGGTCAAATGCAATACATCATGTATCCAACAGCAACCATGCTGTGGTTCATGACTAAAGCACCATGAGGCAGGAAATTGCAGGAACTACAACTGTGGAAGCAATAGTGTGGGCTGGGTGCCCCAAGGCTTGTAGAGGAGGAGTGGGCATCCTGTGCACAGAATTTCCAGCACTGTATACTATAGATGACTGTCTCCATTTCCCCTCCTTTCTTTCCAAAAATTTCTACTCAGAATAGAGGAAAATGTCCTCACTTTATAATGGAAAATAATGTAGTAGATTTCCTTTATTCAAAAATATCTACTAGGGCACATCTATATCATCCAATAAAAGCTAGGTCAACTTACACACATTAATTGTCTTAAGTATTAAATTTAGCATTACAGTGTTGCAGAGGGTAATACCACGGGCCTTGTAGCCAGAGAACATAGTTTGGATAATTGATAATTAAACCGGTGTTCTAGTTTTCTTTTTTTTTTTTTAAAGATTTATTTTATTTATTCATACAAGCACTGGGTACAGTCAGAAGCACGGGAGGGTGAGAGAATACACCAGAGCCAGAGCGGGGAGCAGAACAGGCAGAAGGACCGAAGCACACTGCTGGCAGGAGAGGTCTGCGCGCCATGTGGGACTCTCCTCTGGTGGCCGGGGAGCAGCCGGGGATCGAACCGGCGCTGCAGAGGCCGCAGGCAGCTTCGCAACCCAGCGCTCAACCGCTGCGCCACCGGGGAGGCCCTGTTCTAGTTTTCCAAGTCAGTCATTTAATAAAGCAGTGTAAGTCTTATAGTTAACCTTGAACTAAACCTGCACATCACAGACATAAAATACAACTCTATTTTTATAATACCCAGTGAACAACCTAAAAATGTAACAGGTTCCAATCCAATGAGTAAGAAATCCCTTAAATTATATATTTATTTATTTTGAATACTTTCTCCTTTTTAATTAAATTTCTTGAGATATATTTATTAATCAAAGACATTCTTTTTTGTACTAATTTTTTATATATTTCTTACATTATTTTCCATTTTTGCACAATGTATGCATTTTCATCCTGGTTATATTCCCCATACAATTGCACCCCCCTTATTTTGACCCCAACCCCTCTTTTCCCTGCCCTCCCCCCACCATAGTGTGTCTCTGGTTTATAGTTGCTTGTTAATTTTGATTTTTTCTTTATTATAGTTACTCTTTTTCCTGGATTAATCCAAAAAAAGAGTCATTTGGTCAAAAAAGTTCAGCAATAGGGCATCCCTCATGGCACAAGGGGTTAAGTCTCAGCACTATGAAGCTATCCACAGCCACTGCAGCACGAGTTCAATTGTATTTCAGTCAATCCGCCTGCTCTCAATCCGCCTGCTCTGTTTTGCACTCTGTCTGGTGAATCCTCTCACCACCGCATGCCCTCCCCCCATACCTCTGGCCTGCACCCCAGTTCTTGTATGCATAAATAAATAAATCTTTAAAAAAAAGTTCAGTAGGGCCTCCCCTGGTGGCGCAGCAGTTGAGCGCTGGGCTGCGAAGCTGCCTGCAGCCTCTGCAGCGCCGGTTCAATCCCCGGCCACCGGCAAGGGTCCCACATGGCGCGCAGACCTCTCCTGCCGCCTGCTGCTCCCCTCGGCAGTGTACTTTGTCAGTCTGCCTGTTCTGCTCCCCGCTCTGGCTCTGGTGAATTCTCTCACCTTCCTGCGTTTCTGACTGTACCCAGTGTTTGTATAAATAAATAAATAAATCTTAAAAAAAAAAAAAGTTCAGTAATAAAAACCAAGGGAGGAGAACATAAAGAAAAGAAAAAACAGAAAAGAAAAAAAGTTGAAGAAAATTGTTTAAAAGCAATACAAAGATTAAATGTGGTGATAAAACCTTAAATGTTACAAAGTCTTGGTAACTGATATGGAAAGAAATGTGTTAAAATTCTGAAACATACTATTTACCTGGGAAACATACTTTTTCCTTACTTCATTGTTTCTCAGTTTCTCTCTTCATTTTATGCAACCCTGTATGCATCTTTAAAGGTTCACTTGTTGTTTCTGAAGATGCAATTCAGTCCTATAAAAGCAGCAGCATATTATTACTTCATAAGAGACAAGGTATATTCTAAGAAGTTATCCAACTCATCAATCTCCTTTCCTAATTCACTTACACCAGAACTATACACTAATAGAAAACCCAAGGGATGGGAAGAGTACTGAAGTCATTAAAATTATAAACTAGCAATTTAAAACTATTAAAAATGCTAGCAAAGCACTCCCATGTTCACTGCAGCGCTATTTACAATAGTTAAATCTTAAGTGTCCATCAATAGGTGAATGGATACGGAAAAAGTGAGAGAGCTATATATTAGATTATGCATGTGTAGCTCTCTATATACGTACATATAGTACATATGTGTATGTTTAAAAGTTGCTAAGAGATATCTTAAAAGCTTTCATCTTGAAAAAAATATTTGTAGCTATGTGCAGTGATGGATGTCAACTAAACACTGTGGTTATTCTGCAATACATACATATACCAAAAGACAATGTTATACATCAATTATATCTCAATATAATTATTATATTTCAATAAATCTGGAGGAATAAGAGAAATAATGCTAGTAGAAACTAAACATTATAAACCTTGCCCCCACATTAACCATATGTAAGTAGAAAGATGGCAAACAATTGTTTCCAACAATAGGTCAGAACAAGAAGGTGCATTAAAAACTGTAATTTTAACACTTTTTCCAACAACGAGTAGCTAAGTTGGAGATCACTTCGCAGAAATAATAAAATTAATTCATGTGTGTGGTCTTATGACTTCAAAGATGCACACCGTTACTGAAAGCGCTGTGGTTTCCCTGGCATACATTCTAGAGGTCCCAGGCCAAGGCACCATGTTGCCTTCCACCTTTGTCTCTGACCTGTACCCCTGTGTTGCCCCATTCTGCTAGAGCCCTGACTCTTAGCAAATGATGACACAATTAACTATGTTTTCAGCAAGCTGCAAGAAATGCTTTATGCAATCTTTAAATTGCTTGGGAAACAGCTGAAAAAACACTGCTTTTCAGTTCTTTCTTTTCCCAAGTATTCGCTTTGGTCGGGATGCACATCGGCAGGAGAATGGCCCTAAAGTAGGTATACCAGATGGTGTCCACACCTCAGCCAGGCATGGGTACACTAGAGACAGTCAGAACTCCAAGGATTAGCGGGCATAAACTGGGTTGCCCTCAAAAAGCAGCCATCAGGGCCTCCCTGGTGGTGCAGCGGTTGAGCGCTGGGTTGCGAACCTGCCCACGGCCTCTACGGCGCCGGTTCGATCCCCGGCTGCTCCCCGGCCACCGGAGGAGGGTCCCACATGGAGCGCAGACCTCTCCTGCCACCCGCTGCTCCCCTCAGCAGTGTCCTTCGGTCCTTCTGCCTGCTCTGCTCCCCGCTCTGGCTCTGGTGAATTCTCTCACCCTCCCGTGCTTCTGGCTGTACCCAGTGCATGTGTAAACAAAACAACAAACAAACAAACAAACAAATAAATAAACATGCCTCTATAAAATAAAAAAATCTTTAAAAAAAATACATTTAAAAAAAGCAGCCATCACTTAAGTAGCTCCCAGGCGTCTTTCACCGGCATTCTTATGTCTCAAACACACACATACCAAGCTCTTACTGTGTGTCAGGCACTATTCTAAGAATTTTAACTACATTAACAAATTCAACCTTTATAATGACCCTATGAGGTAGATGGTAATATTTTAATTGTGTAGGTGAGGAAATTAAAGCACAGAAAGGTTAAGGAAAGTGCATGGAAACGTGCTTATGTTGCTGTTGACAGGGGTCCTTGTGCAGATATATAATCTTGCAGTAAGCTGACATCTCATCCATCTATTGCACTTTCTCCATCTGCTGTCATGGTATAGTAGCTCGATGTCTAAATTAGCTCTTACTGGAAAATTTTCCTATTTAATAATGTATGGAAAAACAATTCTCCACAACTTAAAAACTGGTATTTTCTTATTTAAAAAAAATTATCCAATGAATATCACAGAAAGGATATCTTCCTAACTTTACGCAGGCCAGAAGCAATAATAATTTTAAGCTGAATATTCACATTCACTTATTTCAGCTTATTACATTTAATCCAGCTATTTTGCTGTGACTATCTGATGCCTGCTAACGTAAAAACTGCAAAGCCCACCAAAAGCAAGACAGTATTCCTTTATTCTCAAGTTTAATTATTGGTATGCTAATGGTGCCAAAAACTGGGGATTTTTCCACTACACGCCAATGAGTTTTGTTAGTTTCATGTCTACAAACTCAGCCTGGATGGCATACTTTGGGTCATAAGAAGAACCAGGTGGAAGTGTGCAAGGAAACCAGCATGAATACATCTGCTAGAGAAACAGGTGCACATGTAACCCAGTGGCAGATATAGCAATAAAGGGCAGAAGCATCAACTTCATTCCTAAAGAAACACTTCACGATTGCAGGCAAAGCACTTCTACCTTTCTAAGAAGTAGCTCTCAGTCTCATCATTTCCCAGAATCTAACCTAAAGTTCCTCCTTTAAAAAAAAAAAAAAGATAAAAATAAGAAACTTGGGTTATTTTTGCACAATCTGCTTGATTGAGCTGACAACAGAATTTCCTTATTCCAGACACCAATTACACTGGCAATAAAAAACACTTGTGATGGTTTTAGAAAGCGTCACAAAAATCTCTAGCAGTGCAGCATAGCAAACCATCAGAAAAATCTTACTGCAATTCCATACACCTATTTTAGATTCTTTAAAAATTACTTTAATTTTCAGAAAACCAAAAAGTGCTCCATCATCTCCAAATGATACAGAATTATTTTAAACATGCTTTTTCAAATTAAATGAAGAAACCAACCAATATCAGTCCAGATCACATTTTTAAACAATCAGGGCCCATTCAAGGTAGACATGTACCCAGCTTCAACAAGTAAAAATGAAAAAGCAAAACTATATTCCTTAATTGTTATTTTAGGAAGAAACCCACGTAGGATCATCTGTCTTCGAGTTCTCCTGCCCACAGCTGGAAAGAACTTTCCCAATGGACTAATGCTACAAAGCATATGGGTTCCAACAGTCACAAGGTAACTATGACAGCAAAGCCACAGTTATTTATGAGATCACAACAACTGTATGATGCAAATTTTTAAATTGAGGCAAATTTACATAATATAAAATTAATCAATTTAATGCTTACAATTCCGTGGCGCTTAATATATTCACAATGTGGTACAACCGTCATTTCTATCTATTTCTAAAACACTTTAGTCACCCCAAAATGAACCCTCATAAACATTAAGCCATCACTGTCAGTACCCCTTCTCCAGTCACTGGCAACCAGCTTTACACCTCTATGGATTTACCCATCCTGGATATGTTATATAAATGCAATCACACATCTGCATGATTTGTGTTTGCCTCCTTTCATTTAGCATGTTTTGAGGTTCTACATTGTAGCATGTATCAGTACTTCATTTTTTTTCATGGATGGATAAACCACAATTCCTTCATCCATTCATCCACTGATAAACATTTGGGTAGCCTTTGGCTACTGCGGTTAGTGCTGCTATAAATATTTGTGTACAAATATTTGTCTGAATGCCTGTCTTCAATTATTTTGGGTATATACCTAGAAGTAGAACTACTGGGTCATGTGCTAATTCTATATTTAACTTCTGGCAGAACCACCAAACTGCTTTCCATAGTGGTTACATCATTTTACATTCCCACCAACAAAGCATGAGGGTTCCAGTTTTTCCACATCCTCATGATCCTGCTTATTTTCTGTTTATTTAGTTTTTCTTTTTAAAAATTAGGGGCATACTAGTGGGTGTAAAGTGGCATCTTATTGTGCTTTTGATTTGCACTTCCTTAGTGACCAAGGCTATTTAACATTTTTTTCATATGTTTGTTCACCATGTTTGTTCACCATATCGTCTTTGGAGAAATGTCCAATTAAGTCTTTGACTATATTTTAGTCTGGTCGTCTGTCTTTTTGATGAAGTTATGAGTACTTTTTATATATTAAGGATACTAGCCCCTTATCAGATTTACAAATACGTTCTCGTTCTGTAGACTACCTTGCTATTCTCTTGATAGTACCCTTTGATGCACAAAACCTTTAATTTTGATGAATTTATCTACTTTAAGGTTTGCTGCTTATGCTTTTGGTATAATTTCCATTAATCCATTACTAAATCCAGAGTCATGAAAATTTAACATTATTTTCTCCTAAAAGTTTTGGCTATTACAATTAGGTTTTTGATCCATCTTGAGTTAATTTTAATATATGGAGTCAGGTTGGGACCCAACTTTATTCTTTTGCATGTGAATATCCAGTTGTCCTGGCATCATCTGTCAAAGAGATTATCCTATCCCCCATTAAATGGTCTTTGCACCCTTGTCAACAATCACTTGATTATTACACATAGGTTTACTTCTGGACTTTCAATTCCATCCCATGGATTTATGTATGTCCTTATGTTAGTACCAAACTTTTGTTACTTTAACTTTTAAAAAAACTGGCAAGAATGAGTCAGCCAACTTTTTCTTTTTCAAGATTGTTTTGATAGCGTTCCTTGCAATTCCATATGAATTTTAGGATCAGTTTTTCTAATTCTGAAAAAAAAAATGGCTGTCAGGATTTTGGTAGTTATTCAGTGAAATCCATAAATTGATTTGGGTAATAATGCCATTTTTATAATATAAAGTCTTCCAATTCATGCACAGCCTTTCCATTTTATGATATAATTTGTCACCTTTAAATGTCCTAGGTGGGGCCTCCCTGGTGGCGCAAGGTGTTAAGATGCAACTATGAAGCAATCCACAGCCTCTGCAGCACAAGTTCGATCCCCGGCTGGCCAGGGAGCAACCCACATGGTGCAGCAGACCTCTCCTGACTCACCAGCTCCACCCCTCAGCAGTGTACTTTGGTCAATCTGCCTGTTCTGTTCCCTGCTCTGGCTTTGGTGAATCCTCTCACCTCCCGCACCTCTTGCCTGTATCCCAGCTCTCTCTCTTTTTTTTTTTTTATGATTTATTTAT